AGTTGAACCAGGTGATCTCCAACCACCCCTTCTAGCCCCAACTATTTGGCAATTCTGTATGTCTTTTCCCACTGCAGAGGTGGTGTTACAGCTGAAACAAGCTTTCCCCTTACCTCCTTCAGTTCTTATTTCATCCAGCGTTTGTGTATCTAGAGCATGGAAAGTGGATCAGGGCAACACGCAGAGAACGGGGCATTGCTGCAAGGTGGAATATGGGATTATGGAGGTGGTGTGGGGAGGAGAGGTCGGGCAGGATGTGGGTTTTGTGTAGGGGGGGTCCCTTAGGCAGAGGGTGCAGAGGGGCCCGCAGCAGGATACGAGGAGGTGCTGCCAGCACACACGCATGCCCAGGCCAGCGCAGACATGGCTGTGAGAAGCTATTGCTGAGTGTGCTGTTGTATCACTGCCATGTTTTTTGTGCCTTTGAAAAGGACAGCTGTAAGTAGAGCTTCTTGAGAAGGAACAGGATGAAATATAACAACATCCAGGCAGAGACCATGGTGAGAGGACAGCTGTTCTAGGTTGAATGCCTAGCTGTTCTAGGCTAGCTGTTCTAGGTTGAATTCCAAGTATGGAATCTCCTGCCCCAAAACACGCACATACACACATGCTCACCCCCTCAGCCAGTAATGCAACAAAGATCTCAAATGCAGAAGCTGGTTCCTGAAAACCTAGGCCAGCAAAAAACACTGGCCATGGGCAGCCCACTGAGTTGACAGAGCCTCTAACACCTTGCCGAGAACCATTTAGTATGTAGTATATGCTGAGCATGCCACAGTCATGTAGTCATGGTCCAGAAGTCTAGCAAAGGAAAACACACTTCTTTTTTTCTATTTCAAATATCCAAATTTTTACTCTGGCAATCTGTACAGCTTATCAAGGAGAGGGATCACAACTAACAAGGTTTATACAAGGTTTAAGGAGCTCTAACAAGTGGTGGGATCCCTTTGGGAATTGGCATTATCATACAGTGATAGTCACACACCAAAGAGCAGACTGCAAGTCAACACATGGTGCTCCCTGTGCTGCTGTCTGCAGTCTTCATGGATCATTTTTGGTGAAATGTGGAGACAAGAGCGTGAATCCCCATGCAGGCAGGGGCTGTAGCTAAAGACAGGGGAAGGAATTGGTGGTTCTGTTCATGCAGTGATTTCAGACTACAGAATTTACAAACTAAAAACAGGAAAAAAATCACTCAACAGGCAACTCAGTTTGTAGAGAAAGGAAAAATGAACAAACTGATAGTCCTCATGGGACATTCATCTTCATGTTTTGCTTCTTCTGTTGATTCATCACTGGGCGAGTGGGAGCCATCCTCCTTAGTCAGAATCAGAACTGCTGCTTGAGCTGCTTGAGGAATGCTGGAGGAGGAAGAGATTATATAATTTTAGGATAGCATGGAAATACCTCTCTCATGACTTTTACTATAGGTGTCTTTGATCCTACTGCTGATAGGAGTTGCTGCAAGTCTGTGCTGATGCTAAGCTGACAGCACAAGTTCAACAGCTAGAGCTGACCCAGTGGAGGGGCCACAAAAGGATCAGGTGGCTTCACGGTGCCAGTGCCGGCCTGGGTCAGGACTGAGTCTGTGGCATACATGTCTGGTGCACCTTGACTGCCTCCAGAACCACTAATTCACCTTTCTCCAAGTACCTTTGCACATGAGCAGAATTTGTATGCTGACATTTGCAAAATATTATTGTGGTAGGGCTGGGGAGGGGGAAGGATATTTAAAAAGGATGTTCAGGTTAATTACAATCTGGAAGGGTTCTGCCCTCTGTCAGTGAGGGAAAACATCAAGGCTGATAACTTTCCAAGGCATTAAACACCAAGGTGAGATTATGGTTTGGTTTGTTTGCAAAATTCTTGTCTGATGGTGGAACTGGGGTTTTTGTTTAGTAGACGCTTATTCAAACGTGCTACAGATAGCACCAGTCATTGAGAAGGCATTTTCGGTGGCTTCTGGGAAGAATTGTAAAGACCTTCTCTCTCCAAGTGGAGAGTGGTGTTTAGGTGCTTGACATTCCTCCTTACCTTGCCTCCGTGGTGCTTATGGCCACACTTGTGCTTCTTGTGCTTCTTGTGCTTCTTGTCCTTCTTATGATGACAGCCAGGCGGGCATGGTGGGTACACCTGCCCCCCTGGCGGAGGGGGCCCGTGGTGGTGGTGCTTGTGGTGGTGGTGCCCGTGGTGGTGGCCCTTGGGGTGCTGGGGGATGCACCACGGGGGGCGGTGCTGGGTATGGTGCAGGGGCAGGTGGGCAAATCTGCACTTGTGGTGGTGACACCGTTCCAGGTATTCCTGGGAAGAGGAGAATATATGTTTGCAAGCACAGCCAGACCTCGTGGCTCTCCCTAGACAGCTGGTGCCTGCTGACCCCAGCCCCTCCCATCACAAGCAATGCCCCGTCCTCCTCCGGTAACAAAGTATTCCCTTTGGAAGCTAGTGGAGCCCATGGCTCTGCCCAGGCCCCCCAACTGCCCTGCGGTGCCCCCTCACCTTGGGTGTTGTTCCACATGCTCCTGGTGCCTCCAAGCTGGAAGGGAAGGACAAGGGGAGAGGTTAACAGCCACTCTTGTAGTCCAAGCCAGACCCTATGGCTCTCTTCACTCCCACACCTTCTGCAAGAATGTGGTCTGGGCAACATGGGCCTCTTGTCTTGCACACCTTCACTGGCCCTGGCACTACGGCAAGGGCACACCATCCACTGCAATCCGAAGGTGGAACATGGCTCTCTCAGCTGCACGTTGGTCTTCAGACTTGGCTAAGCCAAGACTAACCTCCCCTCAGCCCAGCTGGGCACTGACTCAGCACTGAATTCATTATCCTTGGATCTGGGCAGGCCCAGCTGTGCAAACAGCTCTGATGTGTAGCCCCAAGGTGTACCATGGCATTGCTGCTCCTGGCTCCCTGGGGACATGTCCCTTTCACAGGATATGTCCTACCGCAGGTGTGCCATGGGGCTGTGAGCAGCCAGGACCTGGCTCATCTGCCCCAACTATCTATATCTGGTAGATATTTGAGCACAGACCACAATATTCATCTCCCCAGGTTTGCACTCCACCATCAATCCTCACAGCTGCCCTGTCCCTCTTGGTGTCAGCCACATTCCCCAGCAACAACTACCCTGCCACAGCGCACCCAGCAGAGCCTGGGCAGGTGGCTTCAACACAAAGGGGGTTAAAGGAAAGAATAAACTCTCCCAGGCCCAAAGCACGTCCTCCAAGCAAGCTGGTGCATTTAGCCCCTACCTGTGCAGACGCTGAGGAATGAGGGCGCAGCATCGCTGCCCAGCTGCAGGATCAGTGCGCCCCGGCCCGCAGGCCCCTGTGCTCCCGCTGCCCCACGTCTGCCATGCACTGCTACCGTGGGAGCCGCTTTTACCTAATCTTTAGAAAACTGACCCCGCAAAGGCGATTGCAGTGAGCGCGCTGTGTTCAGTCACTGAGCCAGGGGCTGTCCCCAGCCTGCCTTGGCTCAGGGTCTGCTGGACTCAGCAGGGTCTTTGTGGTGAGTCCTTTAGCCTCCCCCTCACCCCCTATTATGGCTATATGGATCCCTTCAGCAAGGCATGGTCCCCCGTTCCCCCCCCCCACACACACACACACACGTGCCCATGCAATACAGTTGTTAGCCCCCTTTGCCATAAATGCAAAAATCTCAAACCTCTGCTTTTGTAGCCGAGAAGAACCACAACCTCTCCCAGCAGCAGCCCTGTTGCCCTAGCAGAGCTCTCCCCAGGGTGGTAGGACCAGCCTTCCGGCACCCTTTAAATAGGTGGACCCTGCCTGAGGGCAGGGCTGATGCCCTAAAGCCCTGAAACTGGCTTTGCCACTGCACTGGCAGTCACCTTGGACACGCAGGGAAACACAAACACTCCGCACCCAACCCAGGCACAAAGGTCTGCCAGGCCTGATAAAAACCCGATGGTGGTTTGCGGTACCCGGCATCAGCTGATGGGGTGAGTCAGGCGTCCCAGCCGTGAACCCTGGTTCATGCACCAGGCGTCCACACAGGATCCGGGAAGGGGACCGATGTGGAAAGGGCTGAGCCCCTTGCCCAAGGCATTAGGATTTAGCCAAATGTCCCAGTGTCAAGGTGAGAGCCGACAGCGATGCCATTGACCCGACCAGGAAGATCTGTCCAGACACCCAGGTGTTTCAGTCTGACTCCTGGGTACAAATGCTCTGGAGCTGGGACAGCCCTTGCAGAGGCACCCCTTACCCTTGCACAGGCAGCTCAGTGCCTGCTGGTGACACCTCCCCTCTTCCCGCCAGAGAAATGGAGGCTGGGGGCGGCAAGAGTTCCCCTGGAGCAGGTCACGCTCAGGGTGCTAAAGTGATGGGAGGGAGGGAATATCTGCCATTAGACCTAGGGATGTAGGCGGTTCTCGTCCATGGAGCAGATGGAGACGTGAGGAAGCGCTGAGTACCTGACGCTTATCTTGTCTTCCCCAGGCTGGTGGGGCAGAGCTTCTCCCTATGTTGTCCCTGACCCTATTTACACACCCTTGTGCTGCCCTGTGTTTGGCACCACTCCTCTCTCCATGCCAGTGAGCAATGCAAACGTGCTTGTTATGCACAGTAAAAAAAGATACCTTGCAGCAAGTGACTCACAGGGAGGATATTCCCCAGGCCTGGAGGAGGAGGGGGGGATGTCACGGGATGTTTTCTGAGCACAAAAACATGCGGGTTGTGAGGGAGGTCAGGAGATGTTCATGCATAGGGTTTTCCTATCCCAGCCATGCCCTCCAATCTGTGCTTTGTGAGTTCCTCCAGCTGGTGCTGGCCGCTCTAGCCTTGTATAGCCGGCTGGAGCAGGCTGGTGAGACCTCAGCATGGGCCACTGCACCCAACCTGGCACGGACAGACTTGGGGATGGTGCCTAAGCAGAGCAGCTGTCTTGACGTGCGTGCCAAAGAAACTCAGGCAGGGACACCTGGCATGTTTCCCAGCTGTATTTGCCACCCTGCAGCTCCACAGCCTTGCCCTGAGCTCTTCTCATGCTGACCGCTTCTCCAGCAGCGCCAGCACAAGCTCCAAGTTCTGCTTTGCCTCGTCCAACAGACCAGAGACCTTCTGGGACATCTGCAGGAGGAAAGAGGAAGTTAATCATTTGCCACATGATAGGACACAGAAGTAACTCGCTTGCCGTATGTGCTGCCTGACCCTGCCATGCACAGCCCAGCACAAACCCTGCTCACGGTGAAGGCCGGGGGTGCTGTGTGCCTGGGCCACCCAGCCCTGGCACAAGAGGATCTTGGGACCTCCTTTCCATGTCTGTCCCACTTGTCCCAGCCGCAGGGCCTCCACACACTGCTGACACCAGGGCACAGGGTAGCCCCTGCTTACCACTTGCTTGAACTGCTCATCCGTTATGTCTTTGAGATTGATCATGACATTGCAATAGGCACCAAACACACCAGCTTCCAGCATCTTGGCTCCCACCTATGAGAAAAAGCTCTGTGAAAAGTGTTTTCAGTAGCCTAGCTAGTGAAACGGAGCAACATTTTCATGTCTTGCACTAGGTCAGATCCTTTTCCTCTAAGTTGCCCCCAGATTTCTAATCTCAGTGACTCAATGTTCATTGCAGCAGGCAGGCCTGGCCTGTTATGTGGAGTGGTGCTTTCCAACCCCGTTATTTTTGGCCTATGGTTTGCAAGGCAGGAACTGCAGCTTTGCCACAGAGGGGGAAATGGATTCAAGAGATCCCAGACAGACTGCGACCTGCCAGACAGTTAGTGGGCTAAAAATACTGTCTGGTTCAAGAAGCAGAACTTGAGATGACTGGTCTCCACAACCAGCTGAGCTGTTCAGCAGTGGGAAGCCTTACAGGAGAGGTTAACAAGACGGGCAGCCTGCGAAGCCAGGACAGGGTGTGGAGCGCCGTGGCCAAAGCGGCTCCTGAGCACGGCGCCGTACCTGGATGTCAGACTTGCAGGCCAGGTTGCAGTGGCGTGCCAGCTCCTGCAGCGCGGGCCACAGCCCGCTCACCTTCTCTGCCAGGGCACAGGGCACTTCCACCGCCGCCTTCAGCCCCTGCTGCAGGGCGGCTGCGCGCCTGGCGAGAGAGGCCGGCCCCGTGCTGAGCACCAGGACGAGCACGCGCGGCCCCAGGTGGCTCTTCTCCTGCCACAGGCGATCCCCCGCCCCCCTGCCAGCCTTCGGGTTGTGCCATGAGCCACGTCCTCCCTGAAGCCAGCCCAGCTCACCTCACCTTCTCACCAGCGGTGTTTTTTGGCAGCTTCATAGCTTCCTGCAGGGAAAAAAAGCAGCTTTGGTCAACCAGGGCCTGAGACCCTGTGTGCCTCACATTGGGTTTTGTTGTACACCTCTCAGTTTCCAAACTCTAAATAAGTCCCTATACTGCATGTGGTGTTTCTCACCCAGGTTATAGACTGTTTTTAGTTGCCAGTCCAGGAGACCCTTTCTGAGCAGAGATTTACGCAGGCTCAGCTGCTTCTCTGGACAAACGAGAGCGCTCTGAGGATGGTGGAGCCATCTTCACCCACTCAATGGAGACAGCAGGAGCACATGCCCCCACAGCCAATTCCTGAGGTTGAGTTTCCAGCTCCACCCCCACAGATCCGTGGAGTAGGATGCAATGCCATCACCCTGTTCCCAACTGGAAAAACCACCCCCTTCTCTGCCGCGTGCCCGACAGCAGCAGGATCTCACCATGTAGCTGCTGAAGGCATGGGAATCGGCATCCACCATGGCCACCAGCTCATCCATGGCCTGGTGGAAGGGGGGGATCAGCTTCCTCATGACAGCGTCCAGCTCCTCAAACTGCCGCTTCCCATAGCTCATGAGCCCCACCATGCAGCCCAGCGCAGCTCCCTGCAAGGACGGGGCAGTAAATGCTCCGGTGGGAGTCACTAGAGAAGTCCGAGCCCGGCTCTGCCACCATGCCAGGTCCCCTCCAAGCCTGCCAGGAAGCCATCCTCAGGAGCACCCAGGTAAGCAGGGTCACGCTACCCACCCTGGAGCGGGGACACCTACCAGCGCAGACACGGCTGCAGACACAGAGCCTCCTCCCGGCGCTGCCGACCGCTCGCCGACCGCTCGCACGAAGGCCCCCAGCGGCTTGGCCACCAGACCCCTGGCCGCTTCTCCGGCCTGCACCAGGTACCTGCAGCACAGCAGCGCTGTAAGCTAGAGCCACCACGCCAGCGGCCAGCGCCTCGTGCATGGGGACACTGGCCACCCCTGCCCCGTCCCTTTGCCCCCCAGCGAGGAGCCATCCGGGTCCATCTCTCTGTCTCTGCAGCATTCAGCAGGCCAGTACCATGGGCCATAGAGGAGCCCAAAGATGGCAGGGATGCAAGCACTGCTCCCAAAATTAACTCAATAAAAAAAAAATGCAGAGCATGGGGTTCTCCCATCCAGGCAGACACGAAACACGATCAAGAAAAGCAAGAAGGGGAGGCGATCCCTACTCAATGATGCGCTCCCGGGGGTTAAACGGAGACAGTGAATCCAGGCCCAGGCGGCTGACCACCTGCAAGGAGCAGCACAAGCCACATCAGTCTGCGCGTAGGCGCAACATGTGCACGCGCAAGGCCCGGCAGTGCTGCCAGGCACGAACCTCCCATGCCCACTGTGTACCCATGCCTCCCACTCTGTTTTCACTCACTACCTTCACTAACCGCGAGCTCTTTGACCCCTAGAAGACAGCTCGGTGGATTACTACCCAGGGCAGAGGGAAGAAGAGCTAGGCCAAAATGCTTGAACTGCTGTAGCCGCCTACGCTGTGTCACCAGGGCTGAATTCCCATCCCAACGCATGCTCACAACCACCTGAGAGCAAATGAAAACTGCACTGATAAATAATTACCTTGCTCTTATCTAGCACATTCCTCATAGGGCGAAAAAATCCCTCCCCATTCCCTTCCCTCCCAAAACTAAAAACTGGTGCCCGTCTTTTTGTTTTCATCTTGCACACATCCTGGGATAGTTTCTTGTGGTGGCAAATGCTGTCCTCAGACTTCGTGGACGTCTACTTTCACTTCCTGCTTCCACACAAGCCGGCTGAGATGCTGCTGCCCACACTCTGCCCTCACAGGATGTTTAATTTTTTCCTCCCTTCAGCATCTCAAATTCTATGGGCCGTGACAATAAATCAGTTTGCCTCTCACTCTGTGTAATCACAGTTTGCCAGGTCATTCCCAAGCCAAATGCCACAAGCGCATGCAACCTGCGTACGGGCTGACCTGATGTCAAGTCTCCAAGCATTGACAGGGGGAGGGTTGGGGATGGTGTGTGTGTGGGGGGGTCTTTCTTGCGATCCCACCCCAGTCTTGGTGCTGAAAGAGCCACGTTACCAGCCTTATCTTGTGTTCCTCCTCCAGAATGAAAAGTTTGTCCCTCTTGATGTAAAACTCAGCTGCATCCAGCATGGCCTTTTTGGGAATAAGTCCTACCAGTTGTGACCCCACCACAGGGAGCTTCAGCGCCTGCAAAGGATAGCAGAAGTGTGATACCTTCCAGAGCCACTTGCTATGCCCCTGCCACCACTCTTCCATCCTGGATTGATGGTCCCTTTCCTGGGATCCACGGGACAGCAGAAATGCCTTCGATACATCCCCTGCCTTGCAGAGGTGAGCCTGGAGCTGAAAATTAGCAACAAATGATGAAGTATTTGGGGTTTCTTGTTGCTTGGGTCTCTGCCTGGTTTTATTGAGTTGAGAGTGAGAAAAAATAGACCCAGACCATGGGACCTGGCCAAAAGCTTGCAGGGATAACCTGCAAGGTAGGATAACCTCTGCAAAGCACCCAGGTGAGGAAAGTATCATGTGCCACCCTATGCCCCTCACCTCTGCGTCTTGGCACACCTCCTCGTAGACTTCATGGAGTGGTGTGGTCTCAAAGTCCAGGAGGTTTGTGGAAACCTGGGCTATATTCTCTTCCTCCAAATACCAGCCTATGCCCTGGACCTTCTTCAAGCGCCCGGGCTGCAAAGAGCTGCTGTGGTCAAGGCACGCAGTGCCCGACTCAGCCCCGGGATGCGTCGGGGGGAGCAGGACCGTGCCCAGCGCCAGGGTACCTGCTCAGCGCCGCGGCCCTGCTCGCGGATGTTGAGGGCGATGCGGTGAGCCAACTCCTTGGTGCAGAGCAGGTTGATGTTGTAGGCGATGAGGAAGGTGCGGGCCCCTGTCACTGTGGCTCCCCACCGGGGCACAAAGGTGGGGGGTCCAAAATCGGGAGCCCACTCTGGTTTCGCAAGCTGTGGGAGGGGAGCACCAAGGGAGGGAGGAAAGTGGGTTTCTAGCATGGGGAAATGGCACGAGTGAGCTGCTGAGGCTGCACCACAATGCAAGCTGTCCCTCCCCAGCCCATGCCTGCAATAACCCCTTCCACATCAGCAGCATCTAGAGCATTTCACTGGCTCCTCTCAGCCTGGCCTCCCCTAGTGAGGCTCCTCTCCTCAGCGAGGCCCAGGAGATGCTGCTCGGCTTGCCCATTAGTCAGGACAGCCTGTGCACACTCACCTTTTCGGGGAGCGCCTCGTACTCCCCGGCGCGGATGGCTGGCAAGGATTTCCTGCTCTCCTGCCGCGCTGCTTCTCCGTACAGGTAAACTGCAAGAGAGAGCAGGGAACGACGGACAGGCCAAATGACCCTAGGGAGAAAGGGCTGTGGCACATCGTCTACTAGGGACCACTGGTCCACCTTTGCCCATTTGTGGACAAAAACTATTTTTTTCCCTATTAGAATAACAGCAACTACTTTTCTATAGGAGAACATTGGTGCAGATGGAGGCACAGCCTTGGGCAATCAGCGTTTCCCCCACTCACCAGGAACCCCCAGCTCCGTGGACAAGCGCTGCCCGAAGCTGCAGGCGCAGGCAACGCACTCCTCCATGCTCACGTTCCTCACTGGCACAAAGGGGCACACGTCCAGGGCCCCCATGCGAGGGTGTTCACCTAGGGACAGGACCAGGCATTAGAAGGAAGGGAACAGGTAAGAGCAAGCAGGACAAGGAGGGATGAAGGCCTTTTACCAGCCGTTTTGGAGACTCAGCTCACAGCCAGCCTGCCCAAAGCCTTTCCACCGCAAGGAAAGCTGTGTCTGAGCCACTAATATGTACCCCAGCCCAGTAAAAGGAGGCTTTCAGGCTCTCCATAAGACAAGCAAGAGCTTTGTGTGGTCCAGCCAGCATTCAGCCTGGCAGTGCGGCTTGCCAGAGATGCAGAAAAGTGCCATACTTGGCTGCTGGCAATGACTTGGCATCAGTTTTTAGCCTCTGTGAGGAAAAGGGAGGTTTTGAGCTGGAGGGACCTGCAAGTCAGCGCACAGCTCCAGCCAGGCAAGGCAGTCCAGGAGCCATCCCCATGTGCCGGAGCCAACACGGAAGCTTGCCCTGGGACCCAACTACCAAAGGGTGCTTGGCATGGGGATGGCTCCTAGGCCTAGGGCTGCTCAGTGTGGGGGTGGCGCCCAGGCCTCTCGGGAGCTCACCCTTGTGCTGCCTCATGTCAATGAGCTGTGCAGCTGCTCGAGCTGCACTCAGTGCCCCTTCCACAACAGCCTCTGGGATCCCCACAAAGGTGTAGACAGTGCGGTTGGTGGAGGGGCCGGCATCCACATCCAGCAGCAGGCAGCCGGGTGTCCGGGAGATGGCTTGTCCCAGCACCTCGATCACCTGCGGGAGAGCGGAGACAGGCAAGGCAATGGAGCTGGCAGGTACCCATCAGCCCCAGGAGCTGTGCAACGTGGAGGAGCCTTTTGGGGCTTGGGGGCCATGATCGAGGAGGAGGCCACACACCGGTGGGTACAACCCTGTACCACTAAGGAGACCACACGCTGGTGGGTACAACCCTGTGCCACTGAGGATGCAGGACTCTAATGCGTCAGCATCCTGCTGCCAAACAGCACACACAGCACTGGAGCACAGGACTCCCTGCAAGCTGCAGCCCTGAGCAAAGGAGGGAGAGTTGATCTGGTGCCATCTAGATGCTGGAGAGGTCTGTCACACATTGCTCTTCCTGAGGACACTCTCCTCTGCTGGCTTCAAAACTGATCTGCTCTGTAAAGCCCATTTCCTAAGGGAAACAGAGCTTTTAGTGTGGCCTTCGTGTCGCCTCCCCGAAAGGGCCAAAGTTCAGTCTGAGGCAGACACCCAGCATGGCATTTTAACCTGGGCAGCACAATATTTGACAAAACAACAGAAAGGGGGGGTTTCCAAATGAGATATGCCAGTCCCTGACTCTCAGGCAACCTATGGGCAGCAGAAAGGAGCAGGACTCCAATCCACTCCCTCCACCCCCTTTCTGACAGAGCTGCAAAAAGGGGATCAGGGACTGCTTTGGGGCACTCTCAGCTTTAGCCATGTCCAGACAGCACATAGCTCTGTCAGGAGAGGCAGGGAAGAGCCTGGCAGTGGTCACTGACTGCACAGGCCATCACTAGCCATGTGCCTGCCCAGGGTGCTCAGCCAAAACAGAGCCTTGGGGCACCATCAGTCCTGAGCAAGCACCCTTGGGGACCAGTGAAGTGCCTCTGAAACACTGCAAGCTGTCTCCTGTAGTCTCTGGCCCTTGTGGGCTTGCTTTTCTCCCTAGGAAACAACACGAACTTTCTCTGACTTGACTTTGGGTGGATTTTAGCTAGCAAAAAAGGGCCGAATGTCAACAGAGAAGAAAACCAGAGCTGAGCTACAAATTTGAAGGAATAAAATGCTCCAGAAGTTCACCCTGAGCTAATCACATTGCACTGTGCAGAGATATCTGATGCACAGCCCTGACCTCTGAGCCCCCTGCACCTTCTCCCGCAATGCTGCCCACCCCATCGCCTCCTCCACACATCTCCCTTACCTCTTTGTTATTCCCCTCCGAAAAATTGGGGACACACTCCACCAGCTTGGCCATGGTGCTGGCGTCTGCCTGTGCCACCCCTGGGCTCTCTGAGCTGTGCTTGTTTGCCTGACCTGTCCTTTCCAGGGCCACGGGCACCCAAAAGCCTTTCTAGTGTCCAATCAGTTATTTTTTCCTGGAGCTGGGGTTTCTCATTAACTATGCTGATCCAAAGCCAAAAAAGAAAAAAAAAGAAAGAAAAAAGAAAAAGAAAACCAAAGTGCAATGACTTTGGGCAGAAAAGTCCTTCCGGGCTTTGTGTGGCAGTAGGCGATGTGTCCCTGGTCCCGTGGCAGTGCTCACCAGTAATCCCTAGTCTCTGCCCACTAATCATGGGAGACACTGCCACGTGGTGGAAAGCAGCCATCTGGTGTGGGGTCCATCCCTCGTGGCTACCACCATCCACATCAGCAGAGACATGAGACGGCCCCGCTGTCCCTGGAGGATGGGGACAGCAGGGAGCCCTGGCTGCTGCAAGGGAGAAACCCACACAGGGAAGGTCCTCACGGTCCTTCAGGTCCTCTCCTGACCCCCGTAGCTGAAGATTTTGCGCTCCTGGGGCCTTGTTACAGTGGCCAGGCTGCAGCAGGGCCAGTGGTGCTGAAAAGGAGGGCTCGTCCGGGATTTGAACCCGGGACCTCTCGCACCCAAAGCGAGAATCATACCCCTAGACCAACGAGCCACAGTGACATAAAAGGAACCCCACCAAGCTCAGCTCCCTCATCCCACAGCCCTGGACAAGAAATGGGGCCCTGGGCTGCTGGGAGACAGGTCTCAACAAATGTTTGGCTCTCCTTCCTCTGCTCTCAGGCTTCATGTTCACCTGCAGAGAAAAGAAAAAGCAGCACAGGGGATTTGCCGAGGAACTTGAGGGCTCTCTCTGCATGCTGCACTTGCGGCATTCCCCGCTCTCTCATGCCTCAGGGATGCACACCTGCCTTCAGGATGCTACAACAGCACCCAGCAAGATCGAGGCTTTCCCTGTGCAAGGGCTCCCAGTTTTGCAGCCCTGGGTGCAAACTGGAGACCCCCAGCACAAGCCCTGGACTCCCCCCAAGTAAAACCTCTCGCTGTGAGCAGGATTCGAACCTGCGCAGGGAAACCCCTATTGGATTTCGAGTCCAACGCCTTCACCCCTCGGCCATCACAGCCCCAGGGGGCAGAGCTGCTTGCTGCGTGCAGACATTTCTCTGCCCTCAGGTATCTGTGTGACCTGGGTGGGCATCTTGCCCAGGTCTCTCATAGCCACTCTGATTTCTAGGAAGTGGGAAAGTCTCCAGGCTGTCTGCTGTTGCTCTGCCTGCACACACAGCTAAGTATCATTCTGCTTCCTTGGACTGGCAACATGGACCTTGCCCCAAAAAAATCTGTGGGATGCAAAGAGAACATCACCACCAGCCTCCCTCAGCAGCCCAAAAAGCCGAGACACATCCACTGGATGCACAGAGCTCTTGGGCATCCTGGCTCGTTGGTCTAGGGGTATGATTCTCGCTTAGGGTGCGAGAGGTCCCGGGTTCAACTCCCGGACGAGCCCTCCTTTTGGACACGGGTGCGGACCCCGCAGGAACACAGGGCTCAGTGATGCCTCACGTCACAGCCACAGGCAGCCTGGCGGCCTGGGCCATCTGTCACAAGCCCCTGCCTGTAGCGAGGCTGGGAGCGATGCTGCTCTGCGGGGCAGAGGCAGCACCTGACAGGAGCCTTCCCGTTCCTGCACTCATTGGACCCAAAAACTCAGAGCTGCCCAGGGGGCCCCAGCGCCTGCACCCACCCAGCCCAGAGCTGGCAGCTGCCAGGGAATGGGAAAAGAACAAGCACCAGAGAATTTTTTTATGGGAACTGGGGAGAAACCTGTGATCCAAGGAGAGGGCTCAGGCTATGTGCAACTGAGGAAAATCTCCCCAGAAACTGCACGGGGGGAGAAGGTAGCACTGTGTGGAAAAGTGTGTGGAGATGCTGGGGCTTGAACCCAGGGCCTCTTACATGCAAAGCAAGCGCTCTCCCACTGAGCTACATCCCCCTGCCTGGAGGGGTGCCTGTGCCCGCCGGGCACTGCTGCCCGCCCCTGGTGTGGCACCTGCAGCCCTGCTGCTGCTGCGGAGCTCTGTGCACTGCCACACGCAGGGCAGCGCCGCCGAGCAGGCTGGCAGCGGAGCAGGGCCCTCTGTGCTGCGGCTGCGGCTGCTGCTGTGGAGGCCGGGGAGCAGCGTGACGGGTGCTGCGCGCCCCGCGCGGGCGGCGAGGCCGGGCTGTGCTGAGGGTGGAGCGGGGTGGCTCGTTGGTCTAGGGGTATGATTCTCGCTTAGGGTGCGAGAGGTCCCGGGTTCAACTCCCGGACGAGCCCGTGTTTTGGGAACCGTGGGTGCCTCCTCATCCCAGAGCTTATCTGGGTCCTCACCTTTGGCATCCTCCCCCCATGTTGCCCCAGGTCATTGGGCCCTCCAGGGCAAGTGGAGCTGCTGCGCATCTTAGATCTCAGCATGGCCATTAGGTGGGGACCTGCCAAGCGCCAGCTGCCTTGTGCTCCAGCCCCACAAGGTGGCCCTGGCCACCAGCTGCAAGTAGCCTGCGAGTGGCAGGCACCTGTAAGCACTGGGGTCACTGCAGACGGCATCGACAAACCAGCATCACCATTGCAGGGGAAATGCCTCTTCTTGCACCCCTGGCAGCTGGGCCGCTGCACTTGGCCACAAAGCAGGTCCCAGGCCCCCCAGCCCTGGCAGGGGTCACAACAGCAGGAGGTCTGGGGTGACAGTGGTGACGAGGGGTCCCAAGGAGCTCCACAGCAGGGGGATGTAGCTCAGTGGGAGAGCGCTTGCTTCGCATGTAAGAGGCCCTGGGTTCAAGCCCCAGCATCTCCACCTGCTTTTCCTCCTGAAAGGCAGGCAGTGTCTGGGATGGAGGGAGAAGCCTTTATTTGAGCTCCCAAAGAAAGTCCTTGGGCTTCCAGTAATGGCTGGGTTTGGCTTTCTTCCCAGGGCCTGCCCAGTCTGGGGAAATTCCCAAAACTGTTTAATTTTCCTTTTTCTCAAGAGCTGCAGACTGTGGAGTACCGGTGTGGAGAGGTGGTCCTGTGTGGCATGGGGCAGTACACGGCTCGCACTGGGACCAGGCCTGGCAAGATGCCTGTCCCCTTTGCCTTGGGCATCACTGCCCTGGCTCTGGCCGTGGCCTGTGACAGGGTCCCGCAGACCAGCCTGACAAACACCATCCTGTTTCAGCCCAAAAGGAGGGCTCGTCCGGGAGTTGAACCCGGGACCTCTCGCACCCTAAGCGAGAATCATACCCCTAGACCAACGAGCCAGGGTGGCAGAGCTAGGGCTACTTGCAGCACCCCATGGCTCTAGGGATGATGTGGGATTATGGCCAATACCAAGAGCTGGTGGCCCCATGCATGCTCAGCCCTCTGGCAGGAGCACTGGGGGTAAACCCAAACCCAGGCCCAAGACTGTGAGTCGTGGATCTCCACAAAAATGTTAGGTCCTCGCCATCCCTCTGCGGCCCCTGTCCCTCATCACATCCCCTCAGAAAGCCCATTTCAAATTGCCCCAGAAATGATGGGCTACAGCCACTGCAATGTCGTGGCTGCTGTCCTAGGGGAGCTCTAAAACCCCAGGGACCCCTCTGCCTTGGGGCTGCTCCAGGACCAAGGGGTCCCAGGCAGGATCTGCATTTCCCTGTGCAGGAGCAGCTGTCCAAGTCGCAAGGGACAGGACTGCGGCTGCCTTAATCTGCAGCTCCCCTTCTCCAGCCCTGACTTTCCCTGAGGCCTCTCTGCAGGTCAGGACAACCCAAAGTCCCAGCTGGAGACCCCCAGCACAAGCCCTGGACTCCCCCCAAGTAAAACCTCTCGCTGTGAGCAGGATTCGAACCTGCGCAGGGAAACCCCTATTGGATTTCGAGTCCAACGCCTTCACCCCTCGGCCATCACAGCCCCGGGCAGTGGCACCCTGGGGTGCGTGGGACCCTGCCCTGGGGCACCCACCCGGCCCGGGGCTCACTGCAGTGCAGCTGGGATGGGCTACGCACCTGCAGCACCCCCCACGCTGCAGCGGGAACATCCTCCTTGCGCGGGGGGAGTCTCCGGAAAAACAACCCCTGACTTGCGCCAGCGAGACCCTCCCTGTTCTGGAGTTGCTCGAACAACCCTGTGGTCAGACAGCAGCACCTGGTGGATGGGAAAAGAGGCCAGAAGGATTTCCTGGGAACCAGGGAGAAATCTCAGGCCTCGGAGAGAGCCCAGCCTCTAAGACAGAAGAGTAAAATCTCCTTCCTTGGAGGAGGGAGGGAGGTTTCCTCCAAGGCCCCAGCAAATGTTGTCACTGCAGCAGGGGTGGGAGGAGGGTTTTTCAGAAGAAAAGACACATGGAGATGCTGGGGCTTGAACCCAGGGCCTCTTACATGCGAAGCAAGCGCTCTCCCACTGAGCTACATCCCCCTTCCGTGGGATGTCTGCCTGTGCCCATGGTGACCACAGCCACCCCACACCTCCTGCTCCTGTGACCCCTGCCAGGGCCAAGGGACCTGGGAGCTGCCTTGTGGCCAGGTGCAGCTTTGGGGCAGGAAGAGGGGCCTTCTGCTGCAGGTGCATGGCTGAAGGGGGTGGGGGGCAGCATCGCCGGGCACCTCCCAGGGCTGGCAGCACTGGTGGCATCAGCTGATCTGGCCTCTCTTGGAGAGACACGAGAAGAGGTGTTGGGTGCAGGAGAACCCTATGGCCATGGCCCTAGCCATGCTCTTTGCAGGCATCTATAGGATGCTGGTGCCGGAGCTCCTTCCCTGCCCTAAGGAGAGGCATTTTCCCCAAAACATTGATGCCAGCTTGTGGCTGCCGTTGGCATGGGGTACCAAAATGAGGGCTCGTCCGGGAGTTGAACCCGGGACCTCTCGCACCCGAAGCGAGAATCATACCCCTAGACCAACGAGCCAGCATGGCAATATGGCAGCTGCTCCTGCACACATCAGGCACTCCATGGTGCCACACACAGCTCTGGGCACAGTGGTGGTGCCAGGGG